AACAATTTAAAAATATCAATTATTTAAACTAATTGATAAACAATTTATAAATCTCTATTTTATTTAAATATGTAATTTTATGTAAAATAATTTTAAATGTAGCAAAATTTATTTAGCAAATCTTATAGATCCTGCCAGTTCAACCGACCATGAAAAAGTGGAGTCGAGGGAAGGGGATAAGGTTGACTGCTAGCTTCCGGAGGTCGGAGTTGATCTGGCCGGGAAAACGGAGGCAGCAGGTCACGCCGCTCATTGTTGCTGATATTAAGTGGTTCAAGTCTCCAACTGGATCAAGAGAAAACAATTTAATTATGAAGAAAGTTGCTAACTTAACCGAGTGGTCTTTTTTTTTTTTTAGTTAAAATATTTTCAAGAAATCACGAGGAATCAAGGAAATAAATAGCTCGCTAAAGTTGCCGCTATTTGAGAAATAGCTTTTTTTGGCAGCATGGCGCTATTTGTATTCATGTGTAATTTAGCCGCTAAATCCCGCTAAATCTCCGCTATAGCTCCGCTATAGCTACAGTGCCATAAACGTTTTAGCCCGCTATTTAAAACCTTGCGAGGAATATAATATATACAAAGTGTTAAACGGGAATATGAAGGCTTACAACTAGGGGTAGTGAGCTTGAGAGTTCGGAAACAGATATCACAAAGAGCCTCATTGTCGAGGACCATGCACTCATCGGCATTCTCAACAAGCTGATGCACAGAGAGGGTTGCATTGTAGGGCTCCACCACAGTATCAGAGACCTTGGGTGAAGGGAATACAGAGAAAGTCAGCATCATTCGATCAGGGTATTCTTCTCTTATCTTGGATATCAGCAGTGTTCCCATGCCAGATCCTGTGCCACCTCCCAACGAGTGGCAAACTTGAAATCCTGGAAGCGTAAAACAGATCAGTAATAAGTGAAACCAGCATAGAGATTTGTTGATCTGGAATTGTGTTTTCAATCTATACAGACTAAAACTGCAAGTAGATTTCGCGCAAGGACTCTGTAGGTTATTCCAATTGACTCATAATTCATGAAGCTTCAAGGGGAAATAGGATGAACACAAACACACTTGACATTAACTAGGAAAATCACATTGATAATAACCATAGCAAATTGAATAATTCTGACGTGTATTACACAAAACTTTCTCCCAGAGGTAATATGAAGCACCAAAGACACATTCAATAGAAAGTCATATCGAACACTTAAGAACTCAACAATTAAAATATGCTGCACACATATACATGTGACAATAACTATGTATCACTACCACTTCATAAAATACCCCAAACTTTATAAACAGTTAACTCAACTGTACAATTAAACAAATACAGAAAAAACATCAAACTAGCTACACTGTGAGAGAGTTGATGAGATTTATCCCAAGCTTGATAAAACATTTAACATTACAGCTGAAACAAACACAGAAAAACACCAAACTAGCCACGCACACCAGGAGACTTGTGTAATCTCATCAACCACATAAATACCAGTTTCTACACTATTCCGCACAACTTCAGTAATGAAGAAAATATATGTTTCCAGATAGCATTAACGCTTCGTAAAAATCAACGCCTGCAAAAAACCAAACCCTAGCAACATAAATTAGGGCAGAAGAGAAAAATCAACTGCATACCCTGGAGACAGTCGCAGTTCTCAGCTTCCTTCCTGACAACGTCAAGCACGGAGTCGATGAGCTCAGCCCCCTCGGTGTAGTGCCCTTTCGCCCAGTTATTCCCGGCGGCCGACTGCCCAAAGACGAAGTTGTCGGGCCGGAAGATCTGATCGAAGAGCCCGGACCGGACGCTGTCCATGGTCCCGGGCTCCAGGTCCATGAGGACGGCCCGTGGGACAAACCGGCCGCAGCTAGCCTCGTTGTACTAGACATTCACGCGCTCGAGCTGCAGATCTGAGTCCCCATTGTAGCGGCCTGTGGAGTCGATGTCGTGCTCCGTGCAGACGACATCCCAGAACTTGGCGCCGATCTGATTGCCACACTGACCGCCCTGGATGTGGAGGATTTCACGCATTTTCGCAGAGGTTAGAGAGAGAGAGAGAGAGGGGGAGGATTCTAGAGAGAGAACGAGGGTTTTTGCAGTGTGAAGCGATTGGAAATGGCGAGTGAGAATTAGGGAAATTAAAAATGAGGGGTATATATTTTTAGACCTTATTTAACTGGTTGCACCCACTAGACCCATATCTGTTCTGTTCTTCAGGATCTTCATACCAATTGTAGGTCCTCAGAGTAAAATGGATCATTTCGACCATTTTGGCTGTCGATGTAGCAAAATTTGGATAGTAGACTGACATTTCTATTTTTGGTGATTTTTTCTTAAGAAAATTGAGCCAAAAATAATGAAGAATCTGTTTACTTTGGAACAAAGGAACTGTTCATCTCTTAACAAAACCAAGCTTCATCAATGGACACAGTTTGGCTATTTTTTTAAGAGGAATTTGCACCATGTGCCAACAGTTCTTATTTTTATTACACTTATATACCCTTTATATTTTTATTTATAAAATTACTTAATGAAGCCAAAAATATTTCAATTTTAATTAAATCATTATTATCTTATTTTCAGGCATATTAAATGCAAGTCCCCTTAATTAAATGGCCTGTGCAGATTTCGTTTCTTTCTTCCTCAAACTTTATCTGCAATTCACGTCACACCAGACGCACGCACCTTCACTATATTGATTCTGAAATTCACCATTGAATTCGAGACCAAAGTTTATAAAATTTTATCTTCCTTGCACAAAGCCAATCCATTTAAATTTTTGTCCCAAAATTTCTAAAATCCCTAATTTCCAGAACACTGCCGACGTCTGCCCGTCGCACACCTTCAGTAGTCGAAAAATCGCCGCCATCGCGTGCCTATGTTCGGCGTGCAGCCGCCAGCGTCCGTCCATCAATCGTCTACAGCCATGGCCGACAATGGATCTCCATATTCATCGAGAGATCTCCTTCGCGACCGGAAAAACATCAAAGATGAACCACGAGCGACCAACGAGAGCAGACCCGGCCCGACGAGCAGATTACCGTGTATTGAACTGCTGATTTTAATTTTCAGCCGACTTTTGGGGATTATTGAGGTCTCTGGTTGTGAATTTTTTTTGCCTTTTTCACTTTGTAAAAACCGTTTTCTTTTCAAAAGATTGCGGATATATGTTGTGTATATATTGAGTATATGTTCTATATAATATAAGAGCTACTTTATATGTATCGTTTTCTACGTTATATGTATGGTTTATATTCAGTATATTGTCGTGGTTTATATTAAGTATATTGTCGGTATATGTATGGTTTATGTTTAGTAAAATCATGGAAAATATATACAATACATATACCATCATTACCGTTTGCGTATATGATGATGTATGTTGCGTTTATGTTAAAATATTTGAATAACTTTTCTTAAAAAAAAAATCGATGGCGCCGCTATTATTTTGTGTTGTGTTGTGGTATATGTACAGTATGTGATCAGTATATATACAGTATATATGAAATATATACTTTTTTACCTGGCAAGAGGAAAAAAAATATACATTGATTTTAATCGACCTGTCAATTTTGTGGTTATTTTCGTAACTTTTTTCAGAATAAAATTTAAAAAGTTTTTTTTTAGCATATGGACGTAAAACACATGCAAAAGAAAGAGAGAAAAATTAATTTTTAATATGGTAACTAAATCAGTAGGGTGGTTAGAATTAATTGGTAACTGTCATTATATATTAATGTAAATAAACATTATTTTTTAGGCAAAGTCATAATTAATTACATGTGTGTGGAGAGTTTGTAAATTTTTTAAAAGCATGTGTAGGAGATAAAAATTTCCCTTTTTTTAATTGTTAATGGACTTGACAGTTCAAAAAATAGGCCCAGTTAATTGTACTCATTTCTTTTGCATCATCCGAATATACGTCTTATTTATGCTAAATGTGATGTGATTTATTTAAAAGTGTCCACTTAAAATTTATAATTAATTATAATATTTTGTATACAATGTATTATTCAAATAAATATTATATAACAATAAGTCTCACAATAAAATAGTAGTTGCGTATTTTGATCATTTGATGAATAAAAAAGGGACGATTTGAAAAGAAAAAAAAATTAAGAATAGATAAAATTTAATCGTGTTCTTTTAAAAATATAAACGATTTGCTTAATTTTCAACAAATCCATATTTGAAATGTTTAGCCCACGGGTTTTTCTATAAATAATGTAACACACACACACACACACACACACACACACACACACACACATATATATATATATATATATATATAGAGAGAGAAAGAGAGAAGAGATCATATGAGAATGATAGATAGTGAAAGAAATAAGAATAATTATGGACCATTGGATAAGTTAGATCAATGGACATCATGAAGTCAAAATTGAATTAAGAGGTCAAACCTGCAATGGCAAAACTGTAAATATTTTATTATGTCATGACCAAATAAATAACTAGAAGGGTAGTGTTGTAATTTTATCCAACAATATAACCAGTGGACCCCACCATTAAATACAAACCTGCTTCTCTCTCCTCTCTCTCCTCCCCTTTCTCCCCGTTTCTCTCTCCTCTCTCTTCTCCCTCCTCCCTCACTTTCTATACGTCCCCCTTCTCTCTCCCCGCCAGTTGCTCGCGGCCCCACTGAAGACGCCACCCACCACCTTCGGTCATGTCGCCGTCGTCGACGGAAGGCGCCTCCCAACAAAACCGCCGTTCATATCGCCGCCGTAGACAGATCCGATGCCGCCACCTTAAGCAGATTCCGGCAACCCGTCCAACTCACGGCGAGTGTTCCAACGTCGACGGCCCCAACAATCGCCGTCGTCAGCAAACCTCCACCACGCCTCCGCCTTCTACCGCCAGTCTGTTGTCGCACCTCTGTCGTCTGGCCACAGCAACATCAACTCGCGTCGCCTCCGCCGTCCGCCACCTACTTCCCGTCGAGAAACCAGCCCGTCGCCGCGCCAGCCTCGTCGGACTCGCTCTCCGGCACTCTGCCCGTCGCCGCCACAGCTCCGTCTGGACTTCGCCGGCAGAAATACACAAGAGAAAGGACCTTGCATTTTGCAATTTGGGGCTCCTTTTTGAGAATTTGAAATATTAGAAGGACTCAATTGTAATTTTTTAAACTTTAATTTATTACAATTCAATACATGGGCTTAATCAATAATTTATAAAACTTTAAACACTTGTACATTAATGTTATGCAAATTGTACGTTAATGATCACTAGATTGCACGTTAATGTTACGTAAATTGCACATTAACATTTTTATCTAACATTTTATTTATTTTAATTAAAAGAAATAATAATTTTGTAAACAAAATATAAAAATAATATTTGTTTATATTGTTTGTCGGTCCGGTTATCTTAGTTATTGAAACATAAAAAATAAAAAATGAAATCGAAATGAAATATTTAAAATTTTAAAGGTAAACTCATATAATCGTCCCGACATAAATTTCGAATACAAAAAACCAATCCAGTCGGGTTCGGTTGATATAGTGCAATCTGATAGTCACTAATGTGTAATCCATCTAACGTTAAAGTGCAATATTAAAGATATTAACGTGCAATCAGTCTAACACTAGTGCGTATTCAAATTTTTTTATAACAAAACATTAGTATTATTTTTAGTTAATAGTTTACAATGTTGTTTGATGAAAATAAATAATATATACAGATAAAATATAAAATAATATTTTTGTATATAGTTCGATTGGTTATTTAAAACTTGATGTTCTATAAAGTGCATCGTGTTGTTTTATAAAGTGCAAGATTTTGCTATATAAAGTGCGATAATATAAAAATCGATCGTTATATAAGACATAGTGTTTTATAATGTGCAACGTGTTGTGTTATAAAGTACAAGATTATGTTATATAAAGTGCGACAATTTATACCTTTATA